AGAAGAGCCACTAAGGCAACACGTGGTCTATCGGGCCTTAGTTATGAACTGCGCCTTCGTTCGATCGGTCTGTACTCCTTAGAATACCGACGACTTCGCGGTGATCTGATCCTCACTTACCGGATACTAAGAGAAGAGGACCATTCATGTAAGTCGCTGTTAACATTATCTGCCGACAAACGATGCCGAGGCCATGCACTAAAACTTGTGACTCAATATTCCCGTTTAGATTGTAGAAAGTTTTTTTACTCTCTTAGTGTCTGTCCGCACTGGAACGCACTGCCATCGCATGTGGTGAATGCACCAAACATCGAGACATTCGAAAGACTATTGGACTTGCACTTACATGATACACATTATATAACGGTATGACAAACTGCAGTGTCTAACTTACTGATATTTTTGTGTCACACCTGAAACTTTTGTTTTCTTCCATTTGCCATCCTGTGGGTCTTGTAAAGTTATTGCTTTTTATCCCACCATACACTATTGAACTATTGAATTGAATTGAACAAGTCTATCGATTACTTTTCTTACGCTGCGCTTTGTATTTTTGTTTGGGATAAAGTAAACGATCCCAAAGTCAGTGTCAATAGTGAATACATTAGTAAGCTATCGTTGCGGTCCAATACCAGTAATTTACATACGCTTGTTGGGGAAGCATGAACTTTTAACTGAATAGAGTGTAGAAGCTGGATCCGTACTACTTGTTGACAAGGAAGGCATAATGAACAACCACTAAATAAGGCAACTTGAAATAAGAAATTGTATTTAAGGGATTATGTAGCTTATTTCGATCTTCGGTTTTATGCTAGACACGAGTTTCACTTTAGATAACATGAAAAATCTAGGAGTCAAGAAAGAGAGAAACATCTAGGTACAACTTCAGGTTAGCAGACTTAGTCCCAAAGCCTTCGATAGGAAGCAACCACTTTGGAGCTTACCGAAGCAGTCAGATTCGTAAGATAGCAGGCAAGCTGATTTTGCGAAGGCGGCTTTATTGTTATCGGTATGCCTTGCAGTTGTCTAAGTGTTAGTGAAATTATATAAGCTTAGAAGTCTGAATGTTGAGCTGTAAGAGGTTTTTCTTTTGGCTCCTTATATTTTGTGCTGGTTGGCATAAAACAAATACGGTGCACCATCTGTTAATATTATATTACACATATTCAGTCCTCTTTAGCCACTGGTACTCCTGATTTGGCTCGGGCCGTAATAACTAGGGGGTAGAGATAGATCGGCCGAGTAGTTTGTACACCTGGCTGGCAATGATAAAGTTACTGGTTCGAATCCGCCTAAGGGCAGGCATCCTCGAGGTATATTCCGCTCACGCGCGGCCTGTGGTGATTGCGTGGCAACAAACTGCCGTTACGGCGTACAGCTGACACATTAGTTATGTACTTTTACAGCAAAGGGACATAAAACAAATAATATTATGTTAAAATTTACAAAACTCTTAAGTCCAGGACGAATCCGTTACAGACTAATACGTTGAATAAGAAATTATCAACTTGTGCTTTAAATGTTTACTCTAACACAGTGATATATACCTCGAAAAAACATGTGCATTTGTACATAGTCAGAATACGAGAGGTATACTTTGTGCTAAAGTAAACTGTAGCGAAAACTCATGGTTTAACTTTAATTATTAAACTCAGCAGTGTGAAAATGCACCAAATTTTCTGCGTAAAATTCTAACTAATATTGCCGTTTATTGTTTAAGAAGACGACCAGTGCATAATGACAAATTATTTGCTGAGTTCGGTTGCTTAAGTCCAGCGTCGTCTTTGCTTGGAACTTGTTTCGGTTGTAACCAACGATCTCTCCGTGCTGTGCTCATTTGTTCCCATAAATGGTAGCCGCAACGGTGTAGACTTTATACCTAGGTCAACGGGTAACCTTTTATTGTGAAATGAAAAATAAATGTGTCAGCTGTACGCCGTATCGGCGCTTCGCTACCGTGCGACCATCACCAGTCGCGCGTGGGCTGAGTGTACCTCGATGATATCCGCCCCTACGCGGATTCAAACCAGTGGCCGTATGATTGCAAGTCAAGTGAGTAGACCCCTCAGCCACCAGACCACTCCGTCATCGGCTAGTTCCATTTGTTTTCCACTTCTGGCTTACTCCTGCCTACAGTAGCACTTCTGTGTTTAGTTGTAACGATAGCTTTTGTAGACAAGCGGATCCCGACGTAAGCAAGCTTCAACGCAGCACCCCTATTGAAACTACACGAAGTTCTACTGACTTCATCTGAGGAGGCTATTCTTTCTGACGTCTGATAAACTTCTTCCTGCCACGTAGCCACCACCAGAATACACTGACTCGTTTTTAGTGCATTACACAATGTGTCATCCCTGCATACGTGCTTTTCAAAAGCTCATAACCGAAGCCCTCATTTGCCCCGACGTTGAACGCGATGTCTGCACCTCGACTTGCACGTGCCCATAGTGTCAGGCAGTTTAAAAGCCACTAGGAGTATTTCCCGCTCCTTACGCTCGTTTTGAGAAAGTTCACGTCTACCTGCCCAGATATTTTCCACTATGAAATGAATTCATGCACAACTACACCCGCGTCGACAGATTTACTCCTTGGACAGAAGTGATTCCGATAGCCGTCTGCATATCTGAAAGAGTTTCCCGGGTACTCCTACAATGCTGGGTAGCTCCATTAAATTGCCTAATTGTAGTCGTTACCGATGGAGGACTACACTTGGAGGGGTCTTATAACTTCTTAATGTACTTGGTTACCAGCATAACCGAAACATTGCATACCACTTCGCAGAAAACGGGATGGTAGAAAGGCAAGTCAAAACATCACTCTGCGCCCAAACTAGTACATACTGGCACAAAGTAATTCCGCTTTTTCTCTTATGTATAAGGGACAAGATTTAAGTGAATTTGCACGCCACTCCTACTTCGTTAATCCTTGGTTTCCCAAGCCCAGTGAAATTGTCTCACCAAATGTGCCAAATACTTTTAACTGCACAGCTCGTCTATCGCATTACATACAAAAACTTTAGTATGTGCACCCTAAGACATAGAGTTTGTGTACCAACGTGGACGAACGGCTTGTTACTTTACACAGGTATTTGTTCAGTTAAGTTCAGATGAACACCCATGATGCAACCACCTAGGTGCGGTGTATCCAGTTGCCACGAATCACATCGTAAGAGTAACAAAAAATAGCAACGTTAAGGTAGTGGGGTCGAATGCAATTAAAAAGTAAAGTACTTTGTGCACTCCAAATTCCCTATTCTGGCCCGTACCCAGCCGTACACAAAACCGACAAGACATTTACCATTGACCACACGGGTATAACTGAGGCAGTCAACATTGGTCGACTAAAGCGTGCATTCCTTGTCAACCCGGACTCTAATTTGTAACAGTCACCTATCCAGTCTGCGCCATCTCGGTCTTCTGACGAGTCACGCCGTTTCAGCGGAACCTATAGCGACAACGGACCTCAACACTGCTCGACATGGGTTGGAAGTCAAACCCCCGGTTGATTTTTGCTAGCGCAAAGCATGTCGTTCATTTTCCCATGCACCGATTTCATGCTCCTATCAACGTTTTCTAAAATCTATAAAAAGAAAGGTTTTTGAGCTACCAAAAAAGAACAAAAGCTGTTAAATACGCACAAACAGCTTCGTACGTTTTTCTTAGTACATCATTTTGAGTAGAGCTATGTACTTACGTTGCCCCTCTCCAGTTTGCTTTCTGTGTACCCACCGTCGGCTGGTTGCTTTAACTTGACCTTTGGTCGCACTTTAGTTGGATCCCCGCACCTCAACGAGTCAAAGCGAATTAACTCAGCCACCTTTCCGGACCCTTAAGAACTGTTCTGCCCACATATTTTTCTTTGTTTCGATACCGTAGGGAGGATACGGGTGTGTGATCGCTAAGGTCCGAATGCGTGTTTCTCCCTTAGCAACTATATCGGGTTTAACTAGCGGGTTCCGCAAGAAATTGGTTCACAAAAGACAGTCCAAGGGTAAATCAAAGGACTTCCACCACAGTCGCTTCTGGGGAGGACTAGGTAAGTCTAAAGATTCGTCGGTTTGTCTGTGCAAAATTCTAACTAATACTGTTCACGTAGACGGACAGTGCGATCGTTTGACTCTAGTATCGCCTTTGTTCGGCAACTGTTTCGGTTGAAACGCGCGATCGTTTGCCCTACCGCGTTTATTTAGTTCCTTTAGCTGGCGGCTGCAACGGTGCAGTTTTTATAGGCAGTTCAACGGGGAACCTACAATGGCACAATGGAACCACCCTTGCACACTGATCGCTATCTGGGCTCCCGTTAACAACTGATGATGTTTTTCAAAACGTTTGCAGTGGTATGCAATCAAATAAAAATGGATCGAAAGCTACGTACATATGAATAGTTAATTAAATTCCGTGCACGTTGTTAATATGCTTAAAAATGAATATTACTGAGCCGCCTGTCTTAACAGTTCTGTGTTTTCAATACTAAAATTCTAAGTGAGGCTTATAACTTTCAAGTTAACCTTTTCCGCAAATGGGATAATGCATTAATGTGGCCAAATAAAGAAAGATATCATGAAATTTGATGAGTACCTACTGAATTAGCGGTTTAACTCAAGATAAATTGTTGAAAAAGTTAGTTACCAACGCTAATACACAGTGAGCAATTTGTCAGAATAAACGGGAAATAAATACACACAGGTCAATAAATTTGTCTATTAATGACCATTGAAAAACAAACGGATGTGGTAATCAGTTAGCCGGATAACTAAGTAACCTTCCGAAATGTAGGCAATACATTATTTGCGTGTTCAAAAATAAAAAGTGATTGATCGCGTAAATGATATAAACATTGAGCTACTCATGATTTCACAACTTTCTGACCACAAGTAGAAGTGTCATCATTAAAAATACACACAAAAACATTAGGCATATCATAGATAGATAAGTAGACTTCAAATCAAAAAAGAAAACAATGTGAAAGACACAACCAACAACGTGGAATCAGCCAAATACCTGCTCTACCGTCTAGCTCAGAAAGGTTTTTGTCTCTTTCAAGCACTTTGTCGACATTAACTCGCATGATGTCCACAACTTCATTTACTTGAGCTTGCGTCTGTTGCAGGCGTTTACTTGATATTATTGGCCGCTTCTCGGACATACTGAAGGCAATATACCACCGCTCCCGTTTCCCAGGTTATACAGTGTCCAACCGGTAAAGCGGGTCGCGAATGACCTCCGGAGCTGCAATACAAGATAATCGCTTCGTAGACGGTTGAATGCACTTATCAAAACGACATCAGAAAGGGTAATACAAGGCAATCACAAAAGTGGGCCGGAAAAGTGTCTTAGAGATAAGGAAAGTAAAAAAGTGACAGAAAGCAACCAATGAACTAGTTGTGACACTCATCGATCTTTGACCGATTAAAATTTTACCGGAATGCCAGCGGAATGACCAAACTGGAGAGATTTTGATTGCAAGTCGAGAAGTGCTCCCATGCGGGAATTCCACGGTACAAAGTTGACATTACAGCCGAACACATTCTCTAAAGTTTGTTCTAATTTTTTGACATACAGCACTTTATTATTGAATAATATTTTTAGGAAATTGTAGGTGGACATATTTTTAAGCGCACACACACACTAAATGAGTTTTAAAAATGCGGATACCTTATTGATTTTAAGTACGTAAAAATGTCTTTCATTAAAATATAACAAATATGCTTATTTGCGTTGCAAAAGATGTTTCATCAAGGTACATAAAGTCTGCACTGCAAAACAAAACGCAACCAAAAAATTCGAGTAAACCCGCCATTGTCAACCATGTGGTCTCACCAAACTGAAAAGGTAATACAAACCGTGCGCGCTACTATGATTGCACTTTGAATAACTTATTGTTAGGATACAAGCGTTGGCGATCTGCATTAGGTACGTTACAAAGTTGTGGTTACACGGTATTTACATTCAAAAATGATGTTTATTATACACCTGCCGTCCAAAGTTGCGACAATGTAGAAAATTGATAAACATTATTAACACAGCGATGCATAACAGCTGGCACCTTTTTGCGCTAGACAAAATCCCACAATCATATCAAAACTCTCTTCAAGCCGATTTGTCAAACAGCAAGAAAATTGGAATTATGATAGATGGAAATTAGGTAAGATGATGACAGTTATACCCAATGCATGACTAAATAAACCTTAAAATTTATTCTGAAATATTGTTTTCTAAGCACACGTCTGAATGCAAGCTCATTAATTACAAGTAATTATGTGTGGTTAAACACCTGGTGTCCGTTTTTAGTAAAATACCTTTTGCAAGCACTTTTGCAAACAAACGGTAAAAAAATTGTGTTTCTAAATCACACGTTTGAAAATGTAGCCCGCGAGAGTACATGAGCAGCTGTAACAGCGTGGGTGACGGACTGGTTAGAGCACATGCAGTTGAGGTTCTCAAGCAACTCCATAATAACATCATTCCTTCACACTTATGCGGCAGGTAAAAGATTTCCTCGGATTTTCCACACCGATCGCACATTTACGTGTTGCGAACTATGCTGCACGATTTCGGTAATCCGAAGGCACAACTTACGCAGGAAATCAACGAAATGGCTGCGCAGTCTGAGAATATTATTTCCGTGGATTCATGTATTTCGGCAATAGAAGTTTCCATTAGGCACTTGGTAAACATATAATGTTACAGATGCATTTTCGACAGCTTGTGGCACAGCAGTACTGGCGTGATCAAGTATAAGCAGCATGCAAGGTTGCTTTGCAAGGTTACAAGTAACAGACTTGCCGACGAAATTCGAGCAGTTTGTATATAAACTTGACTTTCTGAATGCCACTGGTTCCGCATCTGATGATGAGGTTGAACCTAAGTGTACAAACCACTAGATGTTGCCGAACAAATCCTGCTGTAGTAGCAAGGATACAGGTGTCGAGTAACACCATATACAGACTATGGGGATATAAACATCCAAAGGGTATACGGTTAATGGAATAACACACTATCCATGTCGGTAGCCTAGCCAGACGATAATGACGCCAAGCAGATGCAGTTAATGCGAAATGATTCACCGCTATGGCCAGTAGAACACTGGCCGGAGGATTAAGACTTTTTAGACAACCTTCCGAACTCTGTGGTATCTAGGTATTTCAGATTACGTATACATTTCGGGTGTGTGAATACATTGTGTCCAGCCATGCACACTGGAAAACGGTCGTGGTGTCGAATGCTGTTCAAGACTTTCGGGGTACAGTCATGCTCCAAATATGTCCTTGCCGGATTTTCGGTCAGCTTTGGGCGAGAACGCAGTTCCTCAGTCCTGCTCCAGTTCCAGAAGAATTTCCGCACCCTGGAATAAATAGATAGTAAGGAACAAATGAGAGAAGACCGCAAAGCACGGGGGTGAGAACAATCATTTAAAAATTATATGTTATAACGTTAAGAAATGAGACAAACGGCTTTACAATGTGCAACGATGAGTATACTGAAAGTGTCTTATATACGTGCTACAGAAAGCAAAGGCCAGATGAGTAGAGTGCTATCGTCTACATGGGGAACCGAGCATGGTACCAGTAAACAATCCACGATGTGTTCGTTTACGATGATGCAACTAACGCACAGGAAGAGAGAGAAGAGAGTTATAAGGCTGGCGGCGATTGAACGCTGAATGCACAGCATGTAGCCAGCCTACTTATATCTGGAGCGCAAAAGAGGTAAGTAAAATGTAAATAGCTTGCGGCACTTGAGATTCAAACGTCAATCGGTAGTAACGCAGCGGAAAGATAGGACTCAAGCCGTGAGTAAAAATGTTCAGGGAACCTAGACTTAAAGACGACAAGTGGGTACTAACAGAATAGCGCTATGACCGACTGGGGGCGCTGGGTTGCTACCTGCACAACTGTCGAAAAAATCACCGCGAGTTGGAAATAGAACACTTACAAAGGAGGGGTTAAGGAGCGGCTTATGCTGACTATATGAGCAAAGGTTTTTGGAGCGAACAAGCTAAAAATGCTTAATTGATAGGTTGCAAACCTGCGGAACGGAAGCATACATTAAGGTTACTGAGTACGACAAAAAGTGTGAGACTTAAAGACAGCTTCGCGCAGGGCTATCGGACATTTTGGGTGCTAAGGGGATGGTGCTAATTTATGCCATCCAAATAAGGGTGCGTAGTCTGGGCTGTACATTGGCACGTGTCACAGACGTAGCAGCGCGCAAATGATAATTGAACGTGTAGAAAGAAGAGGCTAAGAAGCGGCTGTGCGCCGACCAAATAGGAGAATCTTGATGGCTGGAACGGCGCTAAGCAATTTTACTTGAAGAAAGGAATGCGAACTGGCGATACGTAAGCATATATTAGAGATGCTAAGAACATCCGATCATATGAGGCAAAAGCTCAGCGGCGCGCAGATAATCAGGTCCTTTAAAGGCTGCCAAAGTGGTACCAATTTGGATAGAGTCAGGGAAATCTAGTCCGTGGGCTGGGGGCTTGGAGGTATAATAGCGGAAGATATTACAACGAGTAAGAGATAAATGCACATCCAGAAATGTGGCCAAATAGCGGCTGTGTGTTGACCAGTTGAGTTAAGTTTGCTAGGCAGAAGCTGGCTAAAAGAGGTTTAATGATGAAAAGACAGCGAACTGGATGGGCGCAAGGGTACACTAAGTTTGTTGCGTAGGTCAGAACATGAGAGGCTGAAGAGCAGCGGCGCGCTACTACACAGATCATGCTAGTGTGCTAAGGTAGACTAAGCCATTGAGTGAGCTGGACTCTTACAGGAGCAAGCGTCGAAGAGGTTGCAGGGAGTAAGTGAAGACGGAAGATCAAGAAAGGTGAGGCTAAGAATTCGCTGTGCTCCGGCTTGTAGAGATAATGAAAAGCGCCAGAAAGGAGCTAATAAAGTTTAAATAAAGAAAGGACAACAAACGAAAAGAGTGCAAGCATAGATTAAGATTACTGCGGGCGTCACCCCAAATGAGAAAAATACCCGCCGGCGGAGCGTAGGTACTCAAGGTATGCTGGAAAATATTTACCGTGGCTGGAGTCAGGGAAAGCTAGACCGATGGCTGGATGCTTACAGCTGGAATGTCGAAGGTTACATCGCGTTAGAGTTACATGATGAAAGGACAGTGAACTGAAGGAGCGTTAGCATAAATAGTTCAGAGCATAATAAGCTAGTCGCAGCGACAAGCAGGTTCTCAAGAAGTGCTAGTGGGCTAAGGGTATAGTGTTAATGTTTGCTGAGCAGAGAAAAGCCAGTAAAAGAGCTGGTCTACTACATAAGTAAATACTGAAAAGTTGCAGGGTGTAAGGGAAGACTGAACATCTAGGAAAGTGAGACTAAGGAGTGGCTATGCGCTGACACCTTGATTTAAGATTGCTGGAAAACAGATAGCTAAGGTGGGTTAATTGATGATGTGCAGCGAGCGAGCGGTATTCAATCATGCATTAAGATTACGGAGGACATCACAACGAATGACAAAAGTGGTGCGGCGTTCAGAGTCAAGTCATCCTAGGTTGCTAATGAAATGATACTGAGATATGCTAAGCCAGGAAAAGCCATGGAGGGTGCTAGAACTCCCACATGAGCAAGTGTCACAGACGTGGCAGCGAGTAAGGGCCTTCTGAATAACTAGAAAAGCGTGGCTAAGGGCGGTTCTGAGCTGACTAGATGAGGTGAGATTGGTGGCTAGCAGAGAGCTATGAAAGGTTTCATGATGAAAGCACAGTGGATGGGAGAAGCGCAAGAATACATTAAGTTGGTTAGATACGTCAGAGCATACAAGGTTGACGCGTAACGGCGCGAAGACCCTCAATGTAATCCAGCGTGCTAAGGCAATAGCGCCAAGGTAGATTGCCCTGGGGAAATCCACTGATAGATTTGGACTCCCACATGCGCAAGTGGCACAAACGTTGCGGCGACTACTGGATTAATGAACGTCTAAGATGAGAGGCCAAGGAAAGGCTGTGCGCAGACCTGCTGAGTTAAAAGTAATTACTAGCATAGATATAGGGAAACTTAAGAAATGGCAAACAGGCGAAATGTAAGCATACCTTAAGGATGCTGAGGATGTCAAAGCGTATGAGGCAAAAGCGCAGCGGCCCGCAGTTATTCAATTCGCACTACTGTGCAAGAATGATAGCACCAAAATGGCTAGAGCCAGGGAAACCCATTCGATAAGCCGGAACATCTCAGATGGAAAAGTCGAAGGCGTTACAACGAGCAGGGATAAATGATTACCTATAACGATTCGCGGTTGATTTCACCTCTATGGAAATTTGTTTAATCTTTTGAGCACCAGCTACTTCCCTTAATCCAGCACACTTAAGTAAATATCCACCCGAATTTAATCCAGATCCCTCAGCAGGGTCAGCTGTGGACCTCGTGTGAGTGACCTTACGTAAGTGTGCCTACTTGTAGAATGCATGTGCGGCGCAAAACTGCTGGGTCATTACACTCAATGGCCTCAGTGGGACAACGTGCTAGCCACACGGCGTACACCGCACGCGCT